CAAGGTAAAGAATAGGAGTGTGACAACAATAAAAAAGTGATTCCAACTACTTATTAGTCAGCAGAGAGAAGACATAGGGATGAATGGTAATTGAGCAGAAGTACGTAGCTATGGATGATGCTGAAAGTGCACTCACTCTTAGGTAGCTGGCTTGACACTGGTGTGGAGGCCAGATGACTAGGGTGCAGATCCATCTCTGCAACTAATTCTCAGTGTGACCTTGGGCAAGCCACTTTCCTCTTGCTGAGCCCCATTTTCTTCCCATCTGTACTATCAGAGAATATACTGTCTGTGTGATTCTTATCTTCTGTTGTTGTTGTTGTTGTTATGTGCCGTCGAGTCTTCTAGATCCTGAGAAAATACTTGGAGTTGTTTTTGTATTTTTCCCTCAACATGTATAGGCATGTGTGTTTTGATTTAAGTCTGAAATGGGGTTAAGAAATTTGCATTTTTTTCGAAAGCTCTCCAAGAATGCATTATAAGCCACTGGTACACATGGTCTTGAGAGACCCTTTCAGTGTTGTCATTCCAGGCTTCTCCCCCAAGTGTTGGTTAAGAGAGTGGATTGAACACATGGGTTGTGATCATATAAGGCCTTGGTGATCTTCTAGGGCAAACCTCCCTTATGTGTCACCCCTCTTTGTGCTTGTCTATGTGTTGGGTCTATGTCTACCAGGACCAGTTGCCATCTAGTCAGTGATGACTCATAATTAACCAATGTGTGTCAGAGTAGACTGTGCTCCATAGGGTTTTCAATGACTCATTTATCAGAAGTAAATCTCTGGGCCTTTTCTCTGAGGTGCCTATGAGTGTACTCAAAGCTCCAACCCTTCCATTAGTGGCCAAGCACATTGACTGTGCAGCACCAAGGGACTCCTTCTCTGTGTCTAAGCTGCTCTTAATATCCCTCAGACGCGATCAGGTTTAGGACACAACCGGCAATGATATAGTTTCATTAACATAACAAATAAAACCCTATTTCCAAATCCACAGGTATAGGTGTCAGGACTCCAACACATTTTTTGGGGACAGAATTCAATCCTTAATATTCCACCATTTGAAGAGCCATAAAGGTCAAGGCATGTTCTTTTCACAGGCAAAAACACATTCAACCTATCATGTTCCCCAGAGCCAACAAAAAACCTTCCCCTATAGCCAGTCCCCTATCACATTATCCCCAAATTTTTATCCCATTCTATCTACTCTAAGCTTAAAACCTATCTTTTGAATCCTATAAATCAAGTATGGGTGAGCCCTAGGTATTCTTTTCCATCTCTGGACCTGTGAAATCTATTTATTTATTTACTTATTTATTTTGTGATTTGGATGAAAGTTTACAGAGCAAATTCACTTTCCATACAGCAGTTCACACACACTTTGTCTCATGACATTGACTACAATTTACCATGATGCAACAGCTCCCCTCTCCATGGTTACCTCTTCCCTGTGTCCTTCCCTCCATGCACCCCTGCCCCCCGAGTTGCCTCCTCTGCATACACAGCCCTTCTATTCTCCCATGATTGTTCTCCCCAAAGAGTGTATCTACTTAGTGTAAATGTTCAGCTCATATGCCTGTCTTTTGTTTGGCTGGAAGCCACAGGAGTAGGTTCAATTCCAGATGTGAAGGGCAGCCAGAAGCCATAGTATCAGTGGTTCCATCAGGCTCTATCAACCAGCAAACCTGGTCCCTTTTTATTTCAAATGACTTTGAGTTACATTCCATATTGTTCTCCCACTCCATCCAGGATCTCCTACATAGATCCCCCTCCGAGTGGTTGACAGTGGTAGCCAAGCACCATCTAGTTCTTCTGGTCTCATAGTTGTACAGGCTGAGGATTGCATGGTATACCAGTTGCTTGGATTAACTGTTTTCATGAATCTTTGGTTTTCTTCATATTTGGTTTCCTTCATTCTTCTTCATTCAAGGAGAGACCCATCATTGCATCTAGATGGCTGCTTGCACAAGCTTTTAAGATCCCAGTTGCTACTGGGCAAAGTAGTATGTGGAACAATGTTTTGTGTAGTGTGTTATGCCAGTTGAGCTTGATATCTCCTGCCACTGTGGTCCCAAGCCCACATGGACCTGTGAAATCTAGAATGCAAGTTATCTGTTTCCAAAGCACAATGGTGGAATAGGCACAAGTTAGACCTTCCCATTTAAAATGGGAGAAATCGGAGGGAAAGAAGGGGGTCATGAGTGCCAAGCAAGTCCAAAACTGAGCAGAGCAAACTTCATTAGCTGTTAAGGATTGATAACAATCCTCTGTTCTCTGGGACCATCTGGGCAATGGCTTTGCCCTCCAGACTCTGGGCCTTGGCTGTGCTCTCTGGATTCCGGCCAGAGGCCCCACAGTCCTGGGTGTCATCTCCATCTTCCAGGCCCACTGAGATGGCAACCCTGATCCCTTGGTTTGACAATCCCAGCCTCTTAGCCCCAGGTGGCCCTATTCTCCTGGCTCATGGACATGTCAGGTCAACCCCTTCAACTTTGGGCAATGGCCCCATTTTCCTGGCCCACTTGAATGGCAGCCCATTCTTTCTAACTCTTTTGTCTGCCCTTTGGTGCTGGATCAGGATTCCAACACATGTTTTGGGGTCACAATGCAATCCATAACATAGTTGTAGCAAAATTCTGGAGATAGGAAAGCATGGCACATGTTCAGGGAACATTTGAATGTGTAGAAGGTGTACAGAAATCCACTGAGACCTAACATGAAGAGCCATAAAGGTCAAGGAAAGTAGTTTGTACTTCATTTATTTGACAATGGGGAGCCACTGTGGATTTTTGAGATAGAGAGTAGCATGAGCAGAGTCAATCAGCCTAGCCAACCCTCAATAATTGTGGAAAACACATGGAACTCATGATTTTAGTATATACATTCAACTCAGCTGCTTTTCCTTGAGCATTCCAAGCCTTGCACCCAATGTCTTCCTGTCCTGGCCACTATGTCACTGCATAGCTGTATCCCTCACCAACCTCTTCCTCACTCCTGTCACTCTCCTTACACCCCACACTCAGATTTACCAGATGACTCTCAGAAAAGCATTCTCCTTTGTGCTTCCTTATCTCTTCACAAGCCACTTCCACTAGTTAGGATGCCCCCTCACACTTCAACACTCAGGAGACTGTGCTTTAAAGGATATTTTCCAGAGAGGACCACTCGGATGCCTCTGGGTGACTCCTAGTTTTCACATGGAACATCTACTGCTGTCTTTACATTGGGTGGCCTTTACTTGTTTATCTGTGCATCTAATAGGAGTAGCTTGAGACCAGAGACTACATCTCATTCATAACTATTTTCTCTGGAACAAGACAAGGACCTGGAAAAGAGTAAATTCTTGGAAAGTGTTCCTTGATGAGGGAAAAAAATGCAACAAATGCCAAAACAAATTAAATTAACAATTTAATTCTTTTTTTTTTTTTTTTGGTCTTTTTCCTCTATGTGAATGCTGGCCCTCTGGTGCCTCATAGCCGATTGCTCTAAGGGGTGTATCTCCCTAGATAGAGTAGGTGGGTGCATCACCTTGAGGTAGGTGTTCTGCATGTAGGTCTTTCTGCTGTTGGCTGGGAGCCAGTCCATAGGAGTGAGTCTAATTCTAGGCCCTAAGGGTACCCCAGGGCCGTAGTCTTGTGGGTTCTATCAGACTCTATCAGACTGGTCATCTTTGTGTTTTCAGATTTTGTTCCACATTTTTCATCCCACTCTATCCAGGATCTCCAGGTTTGATCCCTTTCTGAGCAGTTGGCATTGGTAGCTGGGCACCATCTAGTTCATTCTTCTGGTGTCGGGGTCCATCATATCCTAGGGACTAATTGTTTCCAGATGCCTTTGATTTTCTTCACTCTTCTTTGCTTCAGATGAGAGAAGACCAATAGCTGCATCTTAGATGGCCACTTGAAAGCTTTTAAGACCCCAGTTGCTGTTTATCAAAGTATGTTATGGAACTAGATTTTTATGTACTATGTTGTGCCAATTGAGCTTGGTGTCCCCTGAGACTATGGCTTCAAGTCAGAAAACCCAGTGATTCTCTCTCTCAAGGTGTATGACTGTCTCTGAGAGGTTACTCCAACTCTGTCTTCTTTTGCTTCTGTAATGTGTGTGGCTAGTTTCATAGCACAAGTACATGTGTAAGATGATCTTCAGCTAAATCTATCTTTGGTCTAGGGTATATTTCTGTTCACTGACCCTCACCTAATCTTCTTACTTGTCTATGCAATTATCTGTAGCCTGGTGTTTGTTGTTAGTGGTAATGCAGTATTGTGCATAGACTAGTATCTGCCTCTGTTGTCCATATCTTATGTGCACGTTTCATGTCCTTCCTTTCCCCAGTATCATCAAGCTGGTCACATGTTCTTTCCATGCCATTTCTCCGCTCATCCAAATCAACATGTGACCCCCAACTAGTCAGAAATTTTCCCTCAATTTAATTTTCCTTCAATTTAACAATTTAATTTTTATTGCATGTCCTTGAGAAATACATTACTATTTCCATTTTGGATCTGTGACTTGGGCAAGTTTCCTCAATTGCTAATTTGTAGATGGAATTCAAAAGCAGGTACATCTCAGTCCAGGTCCAGAGCCTGTCATGTTCCATGGACAGTAGCTACATTCCTGCATGGAAAGATATAGGGTTAGAGAAGCCACAGAGGCCCAGCCACTTCCTCTCACTCACCTTTCTCCACTTTCCACTCAGCCAGGACAGCTCCCACTCACTCTCTTAAGATCCTTATCTGTTCCTTCACATGTGAACTTTCCACACCCCTTGCACACCATCCATGGAGGGTGGGAAAGAAGTTTCCATTTGATCACTGGACAAGTGTAACCACTCCTTCTCCCTGTGACTTCCCCACCTCTTCACTATGGCCAAGGAAACACCACCCACTATCTTCTCAACTTTCTGATAAAAGCTCTAGACAGATGCAGGATGGGCAGGAAGAGTTCTTACCTTCACCTGACTCTTGAGGTTACTCCAGGGAGGACTGAACCAGATTGCCCAAGATGAAGCTCATCTCCATGGCCCTGGTGTGTCTGCTATTGGCTGGGATGTGGACACAAGACGTGGACAGCAAGAGCAGTAAGTGTAGCTTGAGTCACCTTGCTTCTCTCTGGGAAGGGCAGAAAACTAGGCAGATGGCCTGGGGCTTGGGACAGAGTCACCCTGACCTCGTTGATTCCACCTTCCCTCCTCTCTAGTGCCTAAAACATTAGACTGCTAACCAGAAGGCTGGCGGTTCAAACCCACCAGCCACTCCTCGGAAAGAAGGTTGGGCAATCTACTTCTGTAGTGATATCACCTGGGAAACCCAAGGAGGGGTAGCTATGTGTCGGATCTGACTCAATGGCAGTGTGTTTGGTTTGGTGTTTGGTTCCCTCCTCTGGGATGAATTCTACAAGAAGAGGAGGAATTTGGATGGGGTGGGTCAGGAGGCTAAGTAGGAGAATGATGAGTCTGGAGCAAATGCTGAGTGTCGAGCTGAGCTAATCTTGGGTAGCTCAACTACTAATAGAAAGGTTGGCAGTTCCAGTGACATGATGGGAGAAAGGTCTGGCAACCTGCTTCTGTAAAGATTACAGCAAAACAAAACCCTGTGGAGGAGTTCTATTCTGTAATACATGGAGTTTCCATGAATTGGAATCGACTGGATGCAATGGATTTGTGTTTTGGTTTTTGAGCTAATCCAGATCCTGTAGACCCATGAGGTCAGGAGGGGTAGGACTGTGAGGTCATTTATGAGAATCTGAGAGACCTGAGGTCCAAGGAAACAGAACAGACAATGCATAGCGTCTGAAGTCAGGACCTACAGCTCTAACAGTTGTGCAAGTCCCTTTACTTCTCAAAGTCTCACTTATCTATCAGTAAAATGAGATTGATAATGCCCACCTTCCAAAGCTATTATAAGGCTACTAACCTCATCACAGGCATGAAAGGCTTTGTAAACAATAAAACTGGGAGGAAAGAGTCAGGATTGAATGTGAGGGTGGGCTACGGGAGGGGAGGGTACAAACTGGCAGAGTGGGGATTAGCAGGTAGGAAAGAACTGAGGACCAGGAGAGATGATTCTAAAGGACCAGGGTGCCAGGTTAATTAGTTCCTGGAGACCCTTCCATTGTCATTTTGTCAGTTTGAAGCCCTTGACAAATTCCGAATCCAGTCCCAGGTTCGTGAACTGTGGGCCATGTATTGCAGTTGTCCTGCATGTACCAGACACTGCTCCTGGGGGTGGGGTCCAGAATGCGGGACCCAAATATTAGGCCAGAACCACACACTTATGGTGGAATGCCAGAACAGGAAGAACCTTTTGAAACCAGTCTAAAAAGTTCCATTGCACAGATGGGAAATGTGTGCTCCAGAGTGAGGGCTCATCTTGATCAAGGGTGCACCACCAGTTTGTGGGGACCAAGATTCAGACTCCAGTCTCCCAACTTTTCACCTAACCTCAGAACCAGGAGGTTGATGAGTTAGAGCTGCTCCAGGGTCCTCTGAATGTGATCCCAAAGGTTGGGTCTGTCCCAGGAGGGATTCTCTCTCTCTTTTTAAATTATCCTATGAGCGAAATGACCTGGGTCCAGGCTAAGAAATGGATCCAAACCATCTTCTGTGCTTCTCTTGTAGTGCATGTATCATCCTCCAACTGCTGCTTCAAGTTTGTGGAGAAACAGATTTCCCTGAAGAACATCCAGTGTTATAAAAACACCAGCTCTACCTGCCCCTACGATGCCTTAATGTGAGTGAGTCCCTGTTCAATCCCTGACTCCCTCTCTTAGAGAATAGAAACTGCCCATCAATCCCCTCCCAATGTGTACCCTCCCCTCCCACAGCCCTCCCTCAAGAGACTCACATTCCAATCCTGACTCTTCCTCTCAGTTTTGCTGTTTACAAAACCCTTCCATGCCTATGATGAGGTTGTTGTTGTTGTTATGTGCTGTCGAGTTGGACCCGACTCATAGCGACCTCTCCTTGGGTTGCCGAGGTGGTTTCACTACAGAAATAGATTGCCTAACCTTCCTTCCAAGGAGTGGCTGGTGGGTTTGAACTGCCAGCCTTCTGGTTAGCAGTCAAGTGCCTTAGGCACTATGCTACCAGAGCTCCTTCTGTTGTTGTTGTTATGTGCCGTCGAGTCGGCCCGACCCCTCCTTGGGTTTCCGAGGCAGTATCACTACAGAAGTAGGATTGCCCAACCTTCCTTCCGAGGAGTGGCTGGTGGGTTTGAACCACCAGCCTTCTGGTTAGCAGTCAAGTGCTTTAGCCACTATGCTACCAGAGCTCCTAGAGCTCCTTCTAGTATTCTTATAATAGCCTTGGAAAGTGGGCCTTATCAGTCTCAATTTACTGATGGAGAAACCAGAAACTGGCCGACCTGGAGTTAGAACAGTGGATGCTAGATGGCGATATTCCACCAGAATAAAATTTCTAAATCTAGCCCCAAGACCTGAATGCTGAGCTGAGTTTGGACACTAGGGGGAGAGCAAGGAAGGAAGGATGAGCTTGGGATCCCGCAGTTTGTGTTTCTTGGAACAAGTCACCAAGTATTATTATATCCTAGGATTGTGTGTCCTGGGAGCTCTGGTAGCATAGTGGCTAAGGCACTTGACTGCTAACCAGAAGGCTGGCGGTTCAAATCCACCAGCCACTCCTCGGAAGGAAGATGGGGCAATCTACTTCCGTAGTGATACCGCCTTGGAAACCCAAGGAGAGGTCACTATGAGTCAGGTCTGACTCGACGGCACATAACAACAACAACAACACAACAGGATTGTGTGTCCAGAGGAAAGCATCGCTTAACAAAAACATCAAGCATTATTGTGTAGTGGAAAGACTGGAGGGTGGGGTGAAGTGTCTTGATTAGTTCCTGGCTCCTGATTTACCAACCCATAGGCTGGATGACCTTGGACAGGTAACTCCTCTGCACCTCATTATCTGTGCACTCCTCCGAATCCCTTGTCTGTGAAGTGTACTGAAAATAATACCTGTTTCACAGAGTCATTATGAAGCTTAAACGAAGTAGCTGACATATATTACTCAGCATGTACCAGGCACTTTCGTTTATATTATCTTGCCTAACTCTCTTGGGAATCACATTTTTGTTACTATTAAAACTGAAATCCAGGAAGGTACAGAGATTTGTTTATGGTCACCCTGAGGTAAGGAGCAAAGTTGGACTATAGATTGGACAATAGCCAAATTTAGGTGGTGTACAGCCCTATGTCTGTGAGACTGAAACTGTGCTCCAAAGCGTTCAATGGCCAATTTTCTGGAAGTAGATCACCAGACCTTTCTTCCATGGCACCTCTGGGTAGGTTTGAACTTCCATCCTTTTGGTAAACAGGTGAGCACACTAACCATTTGCATGTCCCAAAAGATGCTATCCTTCAGGTACTCTGTGGGTAGATGAAAACACACACACATATACGTACCTTATTATGAGTCCAAGCAACAACTGAGGGTCCTGGATGGACACAGAAATAGTAAACATTTGGAGGAGGGCAGGGGAGTTCTCTGAGATGTGCTAAGACAGGCATTTTCTATGCTAGCTAATCATCCAAATGTCTACAGTCTTCAGGTTCACCCAACACACTGAATTGTAATCTCCAGGGAATGGGTCCAGAGAATGTGGCTTGCTAAGCTCCCCCCAAGTTTTTTGGATGTTTCACCCTGCATGCAAGCCACAGCTCTTATGCAGTGACTTATTTTATCGAGGAGAAAAATGAGGCTTGGAGAGAGAAATTTAGGGGCACAAGGGGAAGGTGGTGCAGGCTGGATTTATGCGTGGGATCCAATGGATGATTCCAACCTCTTCTTTGTTCTCTGCTCACAGATTGAAGCTGAAGAGGGGCAGAGAGAGCTGTGTCTTGAAGAAAGCCCAGTGGGTCCAGGATAATATCAATAAGATGAAATTCTGTTTGCCAAAGTGAGGATGAGCAGCTTCTTTTCCATCCTAGACTATGGAGGACACTTTGCTTTGTCTGTCCCCGCAACTTCCAACCCTGCAGCATCTCAACTTTGCTGAATCACGGAGGGTCTGCTCAGGCCCTGATAATTTTATATATTTAAACTTTTGTAATCCTCAACTCTTGTTACCCTGTGCCTTTCAGAGCCGACCAGGGTGCAAACTTGATTGACATTGAGGGGCTGGGGCCATAGGCTGGAGAGTAGGGAAGGAGGAGAGACACATGTTGGACCTGGTGTAAGGGGAACTGACTCTTACCAATCAGAGCCAATAAATGATGCACTGACTCTTAGCTGACAGTCTTTGTCCTGGATCAGGTGGTGAGTGTTGACTCTGGGCTGTATAATAAAACCAATTCAATCTAATACAATTGTGGTAGTTATGTTTGTGTGTCAACTTGGCTGGGCCTGGTTGAGTGGCTGGGCAGCTGGTGGTAGTTTTTCCCCATGATGAGACTGGCAATCAGCTCCATGGTGGGAGCTACCACAAGCAGCTGAGTAGCTGCCTTTGGAATGTGGTCTGCTTCCTGTATATAAGGAGAAGCCTTGGGAATGGTCTCTAGCCTATGGTACGCTTGGACCCTGCACGTAGCCATGCTCTGCTGACCTTGGGACTTACAATGGACTTAAATTAATGGCCTGCTGTGTAGTTTGGTAACATCAGGACAGTGCCTTGTTACTTGTCAACTTTGGGCTTGGCAGCCTCAGCAGCCAGCCAGCAGCTGTCTGAGTGGCTATGTGATATCAGGTTCATCAGGTCTACCAGTGTCACCCTCCAGTCCTCAGTCACCCCATCTGTGGAGTTTCAGTGGGCCAGGAGCAGGAGGCAGAGCTGAAGCCCAAAGCTGAGGGGATTTCACCCAGCCCCTAGAGCTTGGCACTTTGAAGTGGGACTTAAAACCCCCAAATTGTAAAAATAAACTCCTGTTTGGTTAAGCCATTCCATTTGTGGTATATTTTTGTCAGAGTGGTACTAGGGAACCAGAACAACAAATCTCTTCCATTCTGTTCCATTCTGACAACAATGGCAGACGCAGTGCTTCTTCCTTTGCCTTCAAACACCAGAGCTAGGACAGATTTCACAAATTAAAGGCACAGTCCTCCAGATTGGCCAGTCTGCCTAAGACTGCAGACACCAGCTGCAAGGTGGGGGTCCCCAGGATCCCCTCATTTTTGACCTGCTGGCTCCCCACCACTAACACAAATTCAATAATTTTCTAGAATGAACTGCAGAATTCAGGAGAGTGATATACTCATGAATACTTTTATTGGAGCAAAAGATATAAATGAAGAGACCCATGGAGAGAGGTTTAGGAGGGTCCCCGGTGAGGTGTTTCCATGTCCCAAAGGACATGCTACCCTCTCATGTACACAGATGTCTTATCAACCAGGAAGCCCATAGAGTTTCTGTGTCCAGAGTCTTTATTGGGGCTTCATTGCACAGGCAGGATTGATTGAACAGCATGTCCCTTAAGATAGGTTAATATCAGAGGGTCTTTCTGGCCTGGCCAGTCCGCCCTCTGAGTCACCTCATTAACATTAGCTATTGTTGTTGTTATGTGCCTTCGAGTTGGCCATGACTCATAACGACCCATCCTCAGGTTTCTGAGGCAGTATCACTACAGAGGTAGATTGCCCAACCTTGCCCAACCTTCCTTCCAAGGAGTGGCTGGTGGGTTTGAACCACCAGCCTTCTGGTTAGCAGTCAAGTGCCTTAGGCACTACGCCACCAGAGCTCCTCACATTAGCTATTAGTTAGGTGTGATTTAGCACCCTTATAGACAATAAGACTTCAATCACTGCAGGAGTACCAAGGTCTTAGTGGTTATCTCTCAGGAAACAAAGGACCAAATCCCCCAGTTTGTGATGTAGAGGAGGAGCAGTAGCCTAAGCCCAGGTTGGGTCCACATTTGGGAGCCTACAGGGTTCCAGGGGTGGGTATGATGTTATCGAAAAGTCACAGCTGCCCTAGCTGATGGAGGTCTTGTGAAGTCATCTGTCTATAAAACTGTGGGAACTCCGCAGATGGGGTGACTGAGGACTGGAGGGGGACACTGGTAGACGTGATGAACCTGAGGTCACATAGCCAGATCTGGTGTAAGAGTCCAGGGCTTCCATCTACCAGGCAGGAGATTTTTCTGGTGTCCCAATCTGCCAAGTGATAGCCTGATATATCACAGCATAGGGACCATGTCTCATTGATTGGCAGGGTAGACTTTATGGAGCTGGTCTGCAGGGCCCTTCCCTCCGTGGGAAGGGTTCTGGTCTTTGTGTCAGGAATAGGTGATTATAACATGATAGAGGGGCCAATATACTAACTGGAGGAGGTAGGCGACTCAAGAAGAGCAGGAAAACCATTGATGGACATACAGGAAGAGGAGGCTCTGTATCTTGAAAAGGGACACATGAGCTCCCATTTGTAAAGTGTGTGCAGGTGGAAGGTGAACTGAGGGAGAAGAATGAGGGAGGGAAGTAAAATCTGGGTCTCACGACTGGCACCCTTGTAAAGGGCAGCTTGGTGGCTTGAGGGGAGAAGATCTCATATCTTATGTCTCACGTCTTCTCCCTCCTTCTCCCACATTCAACCTGTCACACCTCTGGTCCTTAAACTACATCCTCCCTTCCACCTCTCACTTGCCTCCTTCAGGTCACTATTTCCTCTTGCGTGCCCTTGCAGTGGACCACCCCTAGTCTTCTTTTCCAGCTTCATGCTGCCCACAGGTCCCAGGACCCTTTTCTGGGCACCACCCATCCTAATGGCTCATATGCTTGCAATATCTCCCTCCTGCCTTCTGAACAAAGTACAAACTCCCCACCCTGATAGTCCAATTCCTGTACAGCCCAGCCTCCATCTCCCTTTCTAAAAGTCTCCAACTTTTTCATTTTGGAGCCCAAACTCTGACCATATGGAAATTTTCCATCCCCTACCCCACCCCCCTTCCCCCAACACACACACCTGGGCTCTCTTCCCTTTTTCCCCATCATGCACCTCCTCTAGAACAATCTCTCCTATGACCACACTACCCCATCTTCCAAGGTTGATTCTGCCAAGTCTCATCTTCTCTGTAAAGTCTGATTCCAACCAGGGTGGAGGACTGATGGGCGGGGGACAGCATGGGGGCAAGGAGATTTGTTAGACAGCAGTTACAATAGATTGGTGAGATCCTCTGGGCAGGGCTGGGAGATTTTCAAGGAAAGGCAAAGCAGTGAGGCTGGTGCTGAATATGAGACTGAAGAATTGCAAGTCAGGGAGGTGGTGTCAAGGATGGAGTCCCTGACACTCAGGAACTCAGGCTGGCACTTAGCCAGAACCTATCCACATTCTCATTCCTCTGGAGTCCTCTGACTTCCACCTGGGATCCGCCCCAACAGGTTGGGCATTACCGTGAAGGAAACATCACTGCTAGACATTGTAGACAGATTGTACTGCCCGTGGAAAGTCAGTGATCCTGTGATTACATTCCTATTTTCATAATAAATATTTAGCAACATCTGCATTCACATGAGAACTCTCCTCCCTAAACTGCATCACTTTTCATCTCCATGCTTCCTATAGGCACATAAGCAACCCCCGGGGACTTAGGGAGGAGACGTACTTGCAGCTTACAAGGGAAGAACCAGGGCTCATAGATGGGGCCCAATTTGTTGAAACATTTGCTTTAAAAAAAAAAAAAAAAAAATCAATATTCAAAATAAATTCCAAACCAGCAACAATTCAAATACTATTAACATTACTTGACATTATGTTTTGCATCACAAAACAGAAAGCACTCTACTTGAAACGACAACAAAATTATTCCAGGGCGCAGAAAGTGTGGTGCACTGAATGACTTAATATGACTCTTCTAGCCATGGTCTTTGTAGCACCCATCAGATGACTGGGTGGAACCATGCAAATGTAAGGTGTTTGTGGCCAACCAAGGGGATTGGTAGCTTGTTAAGAATGAAAATAAGATACATGGTATATGTGGGTGGGACCATGCAAATAAGGTGTATGGAACCCTAATGTGCAGATTGATCAGTTTTGCCATCCCACTAGACTTAAAATAAGCCATCGCAGAGGTAGAAAGGGAGAATCTCACTACCATCAAGGGAGAAAAGCCAGTAGTGGAGTGTATCCTTGGACCCAAGATCCCTGCACTGAGATGGCAGAGAGATAGTGGCAGCCAAGGCAGCAGAAGCAAGAGACCCAACATGAGACTGAACAGTGGACCTACGGGCCCATGGAGTGAGAAAGCTGAGTGCCTTTGGGCAGGAGGCTTGTTGGCAGAGTGGGGAACGTCTATCAGCAGAGCTAAAAGAGCTTTGTAATATTTGCCTGAACAAGCCAGAGGCCAGGCCCAGAGGCTGAGGGTCAAAGAGAGACTTCCCTGCAGGCAGGGATGGGAGGAGGCTTTCCTGACTGGAGGATTGCATTCTGAGTCCTTCTGTTACTTCCCTAACAAACCCCATAATTGTGAATATTGTCTGTGAGTTCTTTGTGGCCATTGTGATGAGTTATCGAAAGCAGCAGAGAAGTAGAGAGTGCCATGGGAGGAAAGGTTTGTGTCAGAACTGGTAAAAAGTTTAGAGGGTGTGGAAATTGACTTGATGGCACCCGAGAACAACCATTGTCATAGGGTGTTTTGGGTTACATAGTCTGGTTAGATAGCATCCTCTGAGTGTAAATTTCCACCAAACCGATAGAGTCGACTCCAACCCCTGGTGTCCCCATGGGTGTCAGAGTAGAACTGTGTTCCACAGGGTTTTCCGTGGTTGTGATGCTTCAAAAGGAGGTCACTAGGACCTCCTTCTGAAGTGCCTCTGGGTGGATTAAAACTGCCAATCTTTCCACGAGTAGTTGAACCTTTTAATCTTGCTCCAACCAGGGACTCCATAAAATCCCAAGTTGGTGTGAACCGAAATTTGTCTTCTAGGGAAGGACTTTGGATTGGGGGTTGTGGCAGTAGGTTAGGGTGAGATGGGG